TGCATAGGCACAGGCATAAGTCAATGTGCACACATCTTTATAGCCTTGTCACACGGTCCGTTTACTAGAACGCATAGTCATGTGTATCTTCAGTAAGTGTACTGCAATGGCAATAAGTAGGTTGCGTGGGTAGAGGACAGTATACCAGATAGCATGGGTACAAATTTCAAAGCACTAGTTATTCTCTCTAATCTCATCCTGAGTCATCTGAAGTGCCAATGCTGCCCTTCAGCCTGTGCTAGGGTGTGCCTCAGGGTTCATGGAGGATTGAGCAACCACATCCTGCTCCACCCACACTTTGTTTTAATAAAAATGTTGCTCCCAAAATACATACAATATTAAACAAAAAACCATTATTGTGTTAACAATTTTCAGTTAGATGCAGACTAAAGGTTTGTCTACATTGGAAAGTTATAAGCTAAGGTGTGAATTAAAGCCTTACCAAATTCACAGTCCATTTTGGTCAATTTCATGGTCATGATTTTAAAAATTGTAAATGTACCGGTTTTGGCTATCTGAATCTGAAATTTCATAGTGCTGTAATTGTAGGAGTCCTGATCAAAAAAGGGGTTGTGGAGGCCTTGCAAGGTTCTTGTATGGGGAGGTTGTGGTATTGCTACCATTCCTTCTGCACTGCTGCAGGTGTTGCTGCTGCCTTCGGAGAGGAGCAGCTGGAGAGTGGCAGCTGCTAGGCAGGAGCCCAGCTCTGAAGGCAGAGCTACTGCCAGCAACAACACAATAGGATGGCTCCGTACTATATCGTCACTTTTACTTCAGCACTGCTGCCTGCAGAGCTGGGCCCTCCGTCAACAGCCACCACTGTCCAACTCTAAAGGCAACAGTGCAGAAGTAAGGATGGCATTGCTACCCGTACTGCTGCACTGATGTTGAAGGGGGACTGCCTTCAGAGCTGGGCACCTGGCCAACAGCTGCTGCTCAGCTCTGATGGCAGCGCAGAAGTAAGGGGGGGGGGTAATACAACCCCCCCCTAAAATAACCTTATGTCCCATCCCTGGAGCTCCCTTTTGGGTCAGGACTCTTAATTTGAGAAACTCTAGTCTCCCCCATGACATTAGTTTGGTATAAAGAACATAATAATGGCCGTACTGGGTCAGACCAAAGGTCCATCTAGCCCAGTAGCCTGTCTGCTGACAGTGGCCAACACCAGGTACCCCAGAGAGGGTTGACCGAAGACAGTGATCAAGCGATTTGTCTCCTGCCATCCTTCTCCAGCCTCTGACAAACAGAGGCCAAGGACACCATTTTATCCCCTGGCTAATAGCCTTTTATGGACCTAACCTCCATGAAATTATCTAGCTTCTCTTTAAACTCTGTTATAGTCCTAGCCTTCACAGACTCCTCTGGCAAAGAGTTCCACAGGCTGACTATGCGCTGTGTGAAGAACTTTCTTTTATTAGTTTTAAACCTGCTACCCATTAATTTCATTTGGTGTCCTCTAGTTCTTCTATTTAGGGAACTAATAAATAACTTTTTTTTATTCACCCTCTCCACACCACTCATGATTTTATATACCTCTATCGTATCCCCCCTTAGTCTCCTCTTTTCTAAACTGAAAAGTCCCAGTCACTTTAACCTCTCTTCATAAAATACTAGGGGGCTGTGCTCCTTGCTCACTGCGCTCACCAACCCCCCTGTCACAGGGGGTAGGTAATCCTGGCTCTCCTCCTGGCCACTGGGAAGGACCGGGCTGTGGCCATGCCAGCCCAGGTCCCTTCTCCCTCCCACCTTCACCCTCTCCACCAGCCAGGGCCCCCCGCCCGGGCTCCCTCTCCCTCCCCTATCTGCCAGCCAAGTCCCCTCCTTTATTTCCACCCTCCTTCCCCCTCCACTGCCTGGGCCCTTTCTCTCTCTTCCCCACCTCAGCCAGCCCGGGCCCTTTCTCTCCTTCCCCCGTGACTCCTGCTTCCAGTGTAGCTGAGCTGTTTATAAAACACTGGCAGCCGCCTGCCACACACCGCCTGTTTACTTGCCACACAGTCTTGCCCCGCGCCCCCAT